TTTTATATATTTCACTAAATCTTGATTTTTCTGAATATTAGGGCTCAGTGTGAGAAGCCCGGATCGTGTGAGTAGCAGAAATTTTAGTGCATTATGATATAATAAATATGTTTGGGTGAATATGAACTAACAAAATCATTTAAACAAAGTGATATTATATCTACTAAAATTATGTTAAGTTCAATAGAGCTGGGTCAATTTAAATATATTTATTAACGATTATTATATCGTTAATTGTATTGAAGTCGATTTTATTTTACAACGCACTATACTATTATTATCTAAATGTATCAATATTTCACTAATATTATTCTATATACTTACCTATACTCAACATTCTAGAATCATATGTATTCTGACATCAATATAAATAACCTAATATTTTTATTTTGTTTTAGGTAACGTTGGAGGATTATTAGGTTTGATTTTGGGCATGAATCTAATTAATATTTTTGAAATATTGTTTATTTTAATTAAAATGTTTAATCACTATATTATTACTTTGTTTCTTACGAAATGAGACGAAATTATGGAACTTTGTTCATTATTAGTAGGTATATAATTATTAATAATAACAATAGTTTTAATATCTATGAAATATGTTTACATTTCCAATAGGTACCTGCATACTTTAGCATCCACAAGCATCAAATCTTCACTCGATCCTATATAGAGTCAATAAATTATTTAAATTTTTTCCTACCTATTGTGAAATTATTGTTTTAATATTATGCTTATCGATTAATTAGCAATAAATAAAATCAAAATATTTCAGTCTTTAATATGTAATTAAATAGAAAGTTATCATGTAACTATATAATATTATCGCTGTACTGAATATTATAATATACTATAAACTATTCCAAGTAAATGTATTTAAGTTTGTTATTACTTATTTCTGGTTGTTACTATGCTTTGGTGTGTGTATTTCAAGTAAGTATTTCAATAATACATATAAGTACCTACAAATCTATATTTACTGCAACACTTCGTACTTTTCGATCTTGAGTCCTGGTTGTTAGACCTATATGTATAAATAAAATTGTCTAAGTTGTAAATACAGGTCATAGAAACATATATTATATATGACATATACCTTTGACCTGCGTTCAAACTAACATAATCGAACACGATATAGCAACGTACTTACGTACCTATACACATATCTGTTCAATGTTTGAAATAGTATTAAAATAATACAGTACATTATCAACTGAGTCAGGCGCTTAGTCAGGATTTTTTTTTAATTGAGGTGTTTTAATTTTCACTTAAATATACTTGTAGTTTTACACACTCTCCACTGTAGTCATCAATCTTCATATACAATAATATCAAATATGAAATAGAATTTATGAACCATATGACAATATATTTTGTAGAAATCTGAAGCAAAGGTAATAATATAAGTAAGTATATTTTTGAGTAAATACGTGCTGCCAAGTGGGATATTTTAACACCAAAAACACTGACCCGACTACCTGAGTAACCCTGTTCTTGATCGTTGATTGTGGAATTAAAGTCTGAAGATCACAGGAATAGCAGGGTTGAACAATTCAATTTATTAATATATGATTGAGAATTGTATTATTATTTATCTATAAGGTATTTTGTTATGGTTAATCTAAATGCATAGAGTTGACTGTTATAATTAGCCTCTACTTCGCAATGTATACCCGACTACCCGGCTATGGTCTATGCAAATAAATAATAATATATAGCTACTATACCTACGCAATATGGTCGTACCTAAGCAATACGGTCCTACGTATGCTCAATATTCCTAAACAAATTCACTGAGTGCGGCGGGATATAAATAACGAATCAGTAATCCGTAAGCCATTACAATACTTGGTTATAATTTATTTTATAATATATAATCAAATATCAATATACGTCCACTTTATTTATAATAAAAAATATTCATTCTACTGATGAATTTATGGTAGGAATATAATTCAATATGAATGTTAAACAGTTGTTTTGCAGAAATATATAATTTTTTCCCAGTATATTAATAGGGTCCTTTAACTTAAAAATAAAATGTACAGCCATTACATTATAATTTAAGCAACAGCTAGTAATGCCTTGTATGACAGGTACATGTATTTGTTATCGATATAGGTATCTGTTATATGAGCTAAGATTGAAGATTGTTTTTTGAATATTTCTTATATTATTTACCTACGTCATAAGTTTATATAAAATATCTTAACTTCATAATTAGTTAACCACTAAATAAATACATTTACATATTTTGTAAACCTATAAAGTATAGGTACATATTTTGAATAAACAGATCAATTTGAATTCGAATTAAATGTTAAACATAAATAAATTAGGTATCAATAAATTTCTTAAATAAACTATAAGTTGATGGGTATCTTAAATTGAAATGTAACTAATAACTCTTGGGGATATATATTAAGTCACTATAAGAAGACGTCAGAGCAATATTGGTTTTTTATATTTTTATATTTAATAGATCGAAAAAGCATCGATAACTATGGTCATTGGTATTTTGTGGTGGGGTTACATTGTTGGTCGAGGAACTCTTATGCAAGTGGCGGCGAGGAACCGTAGTTTATTGCCAGGGTGGTCACCCATCCTGTGTTTAGTAACACCGGACGATGTATGATCTCAGCATTAGTGACTGCGGCCAACCACAGCGCTTCACCAGATCCCGTTTTCTTAATTTCCATGGACAACATACCAAATTTACGAACAGTAGCTCTTGTGTTGTTATAGTTTTATATTATACAGAGTGAAATGACCCATCAACAAATTCAAAGGCGATAATAGTAGTTTTAGTAAAGTAATAGTAAAGTACTACCTATAGTATAATAGTAGGCGCTTCATAGTATATTATTGATATCTACTTAAAAATGATTCTCATAATAATTTGCCTGAAAAATTAAAAGATTAATACAAATCTATGAGATACCTTAGATAATATTATAACCTTTAAGTCTGAAAATTCACTCTAATATTAAAAATCAACATCACAAAATTGGTTCTGCTGAACCTGAACTCTAATTATACCAACATACAATACAGTATATAATAGAAAGGGCCTGACATATTGGTTGCAGTTCAATTAGTATACAACATTTTTTTTTTTAATACTCTAAATAAAAATGTAAAATATGATTTAAAATAGTCAATTTGTAAATATGGTTTTTAGAAAACTTTTGAATTAAGACTCATTAATTTGAAAAGTAAGAACTTTTTAAAAAAATATTAAGATCTTATTAAGTACCCTATTATACAACTATCATAATATATTTCAATAAGGATTAGGTAAACTTTTTGAGATTAAAATTTTTTTACAACTGGATCAGCTTTACTAAACAAAAATAATAAGATTTCAAAAAATTATAAACTAAAAAAAATACTAAACTTAAATAAATGTTTTTACAATCAAAATGTTTCTAAAAACCAGATTTACAAATTTGATGTCAGATTTAATTTTTTTTAATTTTCAGTATTGAAAAATATAGTTATGTTAAACGTGTAGAGAAAGCGTCTGCAAATAATATAAAAATGAAATTAAAAAATATTGATTGGAACAAAAGTTAATTGAATTGTCTCTCTGTGTTATACTCTGAATATTGCTAAAAACCAAACATTTCAAATGTCTATTATAAATAATTCAAAAAGGCATAATATTTACAAAATTAAATTATAATTAAATAAATATTTATCTTTTTATTCAGAATTTAATAATTTCATCAATATTTAACAATTCTACAATTTTTAATTTAGTTCACATTCTAATTCTCTAGAGATCATGGCAATTCATATTCTGTTATTATTTAAATTATCCATAATTATGATGGTGCATCATGATTATCACGATAATGTACAAAATTGAATAAGCATTAATATAAATGTACAACAATAATTGACACTCCGGGGAAATAACAGAAGTAGGTAATCGATAGACAGTTGAGTGCAGAGTGAATATAATATACTGTCCTGTAAGGTCATCGAACGCTTTAGACGTATTTCACATAAGTATTATATGAAATAAGATTTAAAAATTTAAAAAACTTAAAATGACAAAAAATGTTTTGTTTCGTGAATATTGTGAAAAAACTACTTTGCCGTGTATGAAATATTTTGTGATGAACCATAGATCAACAATGGAAAGGTTAATTGAGTATTATTTTTATTATTATTAAATACATTTTTAATTGTATAGTTTAAAGTAAATTTACTGTTCCCTACTTCTTTGAGTTAAACATATTTTTTAAAGGGCAAACTGACAAGTTGAATTAATGGAAATCTGAAATGGAACCGTCTCTTTTAGTTTCTTTCGTTTCCAATGTAAACTTTTGCGTTTATGTTTTATACTTAGGTACCTATCAATATTCAACATAGTACTTTGTTTTGATTTCTTTTAATTCTCGAGTAACAAAAATGTAAATTTTGATTAAATATTTTTATATTTTTATTTATATTTATATCGACTTTCGGGTTATAGTTAGAAGTCGAGTTTAAAAAAACTGTTTTTCTCACTCTTAAAATTGTATTTCAACAACAATTACGAGATGTTTCAAAACGTTTAAATAGACTATAAAATAAGAGAAATCACTAAACAAACTAACGACCATTTTGAAACGAATAAAAGATCATCTGATTTCACTTGATCGATAGTATAGATTAGAATATATTGATATATTTGAAATTGGATACGAGTATACGACTAAATTGTGATATTACACCCATTTCCTCAATTTTGGTACATTAAACGATCGTTCGTTCACAAATTGTCTTTTCGTAGTGCATTATGTTGATATAACTATAATACAATTGAGTTTGATTTACATTTAAATGCTAATAGAACATTGCATTTGCATTTATATTATTCGCTTGCTGTGACAATTAAAAATAATTTCTATTTCAGAATATTTTGGATGTTGATTTTTTTTTGTATGATACTGGCAACAATTTCTGGGTTGAGTGCTTTGATAGACGTTTGGATTAATTATCCATCTATAATGTTCATTGAAAACACAAAATCTACTATTCAAGAAATACCTTTTCCGATGATCATGATTTGTCCATCGAGCCAAATGCGTAAATCGGTTTTGGAAAAATACTCCGGCACGAACAGTTCTTATTGGTAAGTTCAATCCGAATAAATTAATATTCTCCATGCAAATTTCAATCAATTCAGAGAAAAAGTACACAAAATGATTGATATACATTCAACACTAGATACATTGTGTTGTTCGACATCTACAGATTATCTATTATAACATTATATAAAATTGACTTTTTAGTTTTTTTTTGTAAATATACAAATCACAAATGCTGCGGGCAAAAATCATTTATATTATATTATGTTTTATACCCTCGAGTATTCAATACTTATTTCAATGCAGATCTAATATCATTTTCATCCATATGAATCACCACAAAATATGTTTTGTATAGCATCAAGCAATCAAAATATCATAAACAAGTTATAGACGATACTTATATGTTTTTCTTAATTGTTACCAAATTAGTCATTACATTAGAATATATTAAGACAACAATAATTCCATAACAAAAGTTTTACAAGTATAATTCGATACTTAGTAGGATGTTAATGATTATAAATTGTGTATACTTATCTATAAATTATAAATCATACTGTAATAATATGCTCTGTTAGATATCTAATCAAAATGTATATTGGGGACGAAGTGGCCGAGTGGACTAAGGCGTCGGTTCCGACGAAAACCTTCGACGGTTCGAATCTCGACCACGTTCGGCTCCTCTCTGTAGGCAGGCAACTGTCTAGAGGAGTGAGGCTGCCATCCCCCTACCGGGCATGGCAGAAACCTACGGGTGCCCAACTTAAAATTTTATCAAACCTAAAAACGTGTTTTAACCAACCGTTTCACACTTCCAACCGTCCATCCCCCTATACAAAACAACTAACGGCAATAGTTGCCAGACTTAAGTTCAATGAAAAAAAAAAAAAATTATTTATTTTATTTAGGAAAAACCTTCAACAATATCGGTCCTTAACCTGTTCTTCGTTTGTTTATGCTCCTGGATTGAAAGGACATGCCGAGGATTATTTGGACATCGATTGGTTCAGACAAATTATGAAAGTGAGTTTAGTTTTGAATTGTTTTTGAATAAGACTAATTAAAATGTATCTTTCCCTTATATACCAGTAAATGTTGATCCATTTAAGTGTCTACAGTCATTACTTCGAAATGTTTCAACTTTTTTGAAAATATTTTTTTTTTATAAATTTGTTGTAATTTAAAAAACAACATTTTTGAAAAAAAACATTTTCTTACAAGCTTTTGGACAAGTACCTAAAGTATATTTATTAGTTATATTTATTTAAATTGTAGTTTAACAGAGTAGCTAGTGGACACAACATTTTGTATATTGTGTACATATTCGATCAAAACTAAATTGAAGTGCAATCGCAACATTTAGCTTAAGTTTTTGTTTTAATTTTAACAATAGGATTGCGCGATTAGTTGCTCAGAATTATTTCAATCTGAGGTTAAATGGCAGAATACAACATTGAGCAATTTTTGTCAATTTGTCCAACCAGTATTAGGCATTTTCGGATTATGTTTTGCAATCAACTTGATGCCTGTATATCAAATATTAAACGATGCAAATTATCAAGGGTAAATATAATAAAAATATGTATTATTATCTCTCTACTTAAAAAAAAATAAAATGTTTTAAATGTAATTAATAATTCGATGAAAATAAATTACAATTATTTTTTCTACCATAATACCTTAATTACTAATTAACTAGGTTCTATGGCATTGTATTCTGAAGTTTAAACTGTAATATGTATAAAAATTCGGTATAAAAATTCTTTTTTTCATGTTTGAACATACATATTTGGTTACAATCTACTGTATAATATATAACACCTGCATTAACCGGAACCCTAACATCCTTATGGCCTAATTAATTTCCCATTTTCTTAGTTCTTGTAGTTTCTTAGAAAAATGTTATAACTATAGCCTATAGGTGCATTAATAAACTGAGTTTGGTATAAACAAATGTTGAGCATTCGTGTTAGGAATTCATATTTTATTATAAACTAGCTGATCCCATGCACTTCGTTGCCCATTAAAAATGCCAAATCTATAATATGAATAATATGTTTTATTATAATAACTTTTAAATCCATGGCATCTATTAATAAACAAAAATTTAAATAGAAACCTCAAAATCCTGTTTGAGCACCTCCCGGGTTTCCTCTCTTTTTTTTAGAATATTTTAGGCCTATTTAGCCTACTTAATTAGCCTATCTTCTGCCCAGAGCTCTAATCTATCTCTGAACCAAATTTCATCAACATTGGTCCAGCCGTTTAGGAATAAAGGACACAGAACACACACACGACAGACAAACATTCATTTTTAGGGTTCCGTACGGTAAACGGGACCCTATTACTAAGGCTCCGCTGTCCGTCCGTCTGTCACCAGGCTGTATCTCATGAACCGTGAAAGTTAGACAGTTGACATTTTCACAGATGATGTATTTCTGTTGCCACTATAACAACAAATACTAAAAATAGCTAATGGTACCGAACCCTTCGTGCTCGAGTACGACTCGCGCTTGGCCGGTTTTATATATATAGATAACATAAACCATCTTTTTTTTTTACTTTTTTTTTCAGCCCCCCGACTCAGCTTTCAAAAGTTGTATTTTTTCAAGATTACTGAACACCGGTATTAACCAATATTAACCCGAATAATAACGGTTATGTAAGCCCAAACGCTTGTTTAATATTTTTATTCCAGTGTTTGAACACCCGAATATATCCAGCACCCTAAGCCCGGATTAATGATTTGGATGCTAAGCCCTGCCTAATGGTATACCTACCTAACATTTCATTTATTTTTTTCATCAGATTCAATGTCTTTATAGTTCATAATATTATAGATTTATAGGTTTATACTAAAAGTCGGTACCTAAATATATATTATTACGTTGCATTATATCATTGCGCCCATAGCTGGGAGTCGGTATAGACTTATACCCCTCAATATATTCCAGAATATATCCCCCCCCCGATTGCATTAATATTGAAAACGTTAGCTCCCCTGAAATTTCAATGGTTTTCCGCCTATGATTGCGTCGTTAAAATATCTGTGAAGACTGCGATAGTTTGACAGTTAATACTCCATTACTCTACAGTCTACGTGAAATGCAATAAATTAGTTGGGTCTTAATTTCCCAACAATAGTGGCCATGGGTTGGACAGGTAATGGAGAATTCTTGATCCCCATGTTAGTTATTATTTCTATTTTTCTAGGTATTTGTTGAACTTAACTTAATTTCGTTATTTGATACGGTTGATACCGAGTTGCGGTCGAGATTATAACAGGTAAAAAAAAAATCCTAGTTGCGGTCGGTATCAAAACAGGTAAAATATCAAAATAGGTAAAAATCCTAGTTGCGGTATAAAAATATGATTAATAATTATTATGTTTTAAATATTGACATAGTTACATATTATTATGCTAAATACAAAAATGAAACGGTCTAAATACGTTACGTCAAAATACAAATTTATAGTTAGTTAGTTTATAGTAACACTTACACATTCAATTTTAATATAGTTACATTTTAAAATAAAAAACACACATTCAACGAAGAAAACTAATACATTTATAATATTATACCGGTTCATATTTGTATGATACACATTTCACAAATGTCAGCGAGTCAATTTGAATTTCAAATACTGTTGTATTTTATTTTTAGTAAATTTCTGATTTATGCTTTCACTTTTTTTATTAGTTTCCAAATCTACTGAATTGATTTTTGAATATGTATCAATCTGTATATTATTTTTGACACATTTCAAAAATTCAAATATGTTGGGATGTGGCGATCGGTTCTCAATTTTGAATTTAGAATTTAACGCTTCACTTCCATTATTCGTTCTCCAAACATCATTGTTCAAAGCTGCCCAGAGTGTGGTTGGTGTGGTTGGAAAAGTAGCATCATTGCCAATATAATTATCAACCAAATAGTCATTAAATTCAGTAACTCTTGAATCTATAGGTTGTTCGGCGATTAAATCTAAAAACACATTTCCCACTTCATCTGGAGGGAGAAAAGTCAATCCAAAGACGTATAGTGTAACCATTTTCCAATTCCCGAGTTCTTATTCTTGTACTCTACAGTCAGTCCTAATCCCACTATTTTTCTCCACCAGGCTTGACTGAGATGAAATCTGCATCCAATCAAAGTGGTATCCGGGAATTCTTTTCTTGCAGCTTGAAGTATTCCTTTTTCAAAATCAGAAACTGTTGCGGTTTAAATATTAAATTAATTTCCAAACATTTACTTTTCAGCGTAGACATAACAGTTCTGTACGATAATTCTTTTTTATCTTTTAATAAACTTAGTGCAACAGGAACATATTTGTTATTTTTGAAACCAATAACTGTAAACATCTGCCGAAAGAATTTTGTACAATAGTTAAAAGTGCCATCCACCAAAATAGTTTCAACACTGCACATGAATTTCAAATTACTTTCGCATGAAAATATTATTACATTGCATGATTTATCGTTGAATATAACTAAATTTTCTCTTTTCGTAGACATCACTTCGTCCATATCCAAATAGTCATGTACGTCATCCATACATTTTGGTAACTTTGGTAATCGTTGTAATTTTGCACGATTAATATTTTTCCCTAAAAATTAATAGTTTGAAATTAAAATAGGTAGGTTCTTATATGGTATATTATACAGTATGACTATAATGCAGGGATGGAAAACGATATTAAACAGAAAAAAACAATTAATAAAACCAAAACGAAAATAAACAAAATAACGAAAACAAAAAATCCCAAAAACTGAAAAAAATTTTATAACGAATTTGAAAACGAATACGAAGATAAATTTACCATACATTATTAAATTATTTATACTACAAAAAAAAAAAATTGAAAAAAAATTCACTTTAATCTTTAAGCCTTCTGTCTTTACATTTTAGTCTTTACCAATGCACTTTTAAAATTTAAAAACATTTTAATTTGAAATCAGAAATTTTGAATTTTCTAATTTTTATATAAATTATAATTTTGATTTAAAATTTAAATATTAAGAACAATAAAGATTAAGTCATTAAGAAAGTGATTCATTCAGAGATTTAACAAATATTGAATGAACATAGTCATTGCATAGTCAGTTCTCTAATGTCTGTAGTAAATAATTGTTGTTTGATTAATATTTGAAAAGCATCTGATGATATCGCTGCATTTTTTGCAGATTGTTCGGCTTTTTCATTTCGATAGATATTATAGAGTTTCAGTATCTTAATAAAATAAATATTTTCGTTTAAATACTATAGCTGTTTCCTCTTTTAATTAGTTCTGATGAGATGAAAATGATTTTTAATACCATTGATAGGGCAATTTTTAATATTGTTATGGCAACGGCTTCTGCGTTGCACCTACCTATAACCTATATAATATTGAATTTCGATTTTGATACCTCGTGATGTAAAATACTATTGTTGTTAATAATATTATCTAACTGCGTTGCCAATAACATTCCCTTTAGAAGCATCTGCGTACAGTGTTTTCCGAGAAGGTTAATTTTTTATTTCACGGAATAAGTTATTGACAAATTCTGGGAGTCGTTTAACATTTTTATCAAAATAATTATTGAATGTATCCAAGAGTGGAGTCCTATATAATTGTTCTATATATAGAAGGTATTATCGAGGATATTAAATATTATATCCGTTGATTGGTTTTCAGAGAATGCCGTGTTAATAGCGATTTGTAGGTAAAAAAAACTGTTGATAATGGATTTGTTGTTTTGAAAGCTTTTTCAAATGTTTGATAGGTGGGTTTGAATGCACCATAATTTTGTTAGTGAGTCGTAATTATTGTTCTAGTGTTGCACTCTCGGGGGTAAATTGTTGGAATATTATGATTGTATTTTTTTTTTTTTTTTTAAAGAATATTTACAATCTATACAACAGACGAGGTATAATGAGTAAGTGTGGTGACATAGGAACATTAGACATAAATAACATAATAGGAGCCTCCCAGCAGTGCCACCTGACCAGAAATAAAATGATTGTATTTAAAAATATTTTGTAAGATTAAACATTTAAACTGAACAATTTTTAATATCTCACTGATAGTTTATTTTACACGGTAATTTTTTGCTATAATTTTTAGTAAAATTATTTTACCTCGATATGACCAATTTAGTGAGGCATTATGGTACCTACCTGCAATAAGAAGTTAATTTCAATTTAGATACTATATTATATATATTATAAGATATTGTAAGAAGTTAATTTCGTTTTTATTATTATGCCAGTAAACAAAAGAGACCCTATTTTATAGTTACCTATTAAAAGATTTACTTTATAAGGAGTTATTCATTAAATAAATTTAATTGAACTGAGTATAAGTTTATATTATAAAATATTAATACTACTTCTTTTAACAATACATATTTTAACAATACAAAATTAATTATTATATTATAAAACTAGGTATATTATTTCAGATACTTGAATTTTTTTTCAACAAATAACACGTACCTTGATACTGAGAAATCAAAATGGACTTTAGACAACGGTTACTCATTATTTTCAGACAAAGATGTCCTTCTCAGTGTAACCCCAGCTCGAACAAGTGGTGTTAGTTACTATCACCGCTTAAGATTGAAGTTACACACAACAGAGAATGCATTTTCGGTTTGTCCTAATAATGACTTCAATGAAGATTTCTTTCTGGTATGTTATGTATTTTATTTTGTGTCCAAATACTGGGTTACCATGATCAATAATTCATTTAAAATTAATACAAATTAATTACTTATTATTTATTAGTTATTACATATTATATATACCTAAAGGGAAATTAAGTAAGTTGTATGATTATTTTTCTTAGATTATGATATCTAATCCTGGTGAATTATACACATACAAAACTAGATCATTTGTAGCATCAGACTCATACCAAAAAATTCAAATCACTCCGTTCGTTAAAAAAATGAATCCGGACTTGATGTGGCGTTCTCTGAAAATTAGGAAATGTTATTTACACAACGAGAGAAAACTATCCATATTTCAACTTTATACGGAGTCCAATTGTAATGAAGAATGTAAAATAAACATAACTATTTCAATGTGTGGCTGTGTTCATTACTACTCAGCCTGTGAGTATTTTTATATAGCTTAATATAATCATTTGGTAGGTTCATATAGATTTAAGTTAAAATTATTTTTGTATTAAAACAGTTGTAGTGACTTCCGGCGTCAAATTATGTGGTCCAGCGAAAAGAAGTTGTGTGCAAAAAGCTACACGTAATAAGAAATATTTGAAATATTAACTAGCATAGAATAATATATACACCTACCTACCTATTTTAAAAATAAAGTTATCATGACTTACAATCATTATTTTTAATTATACGTATAAATTAACTAAATATTCTTATTCTAACCTACCAACATTTAAATAATATTTTTAACTTATATTTAACTGGCAAATATTTATTGTCCATCTAAAAGTAAAAATGTGTAGCCCATGTATTGTTTTCGAAAAAGTACAAGATATTACAAAGGTCTTTTGTTTTATATGTTAATTTTTATCGGTTGTTTATTATGACGTTCTTATAATGACCATACGGATATAAGTAATAACTAATAACGTTTATTCTTGGGGAATTTAGATAAATCTTTTATTTACAACGACCACGGGTCATATATTATCTACAGCTTATGACATTAATAATTTTCAATATAAACAAACTTTGAAAAGTAGAAACACAAATAAATGATTTTTTATTTAAACAACATGTCACAAACTAAAATAACAGCTTTTCTTATAATATGTACTCGTACATAATAAATATTAATAATATGTAATAAAAACTAAAAATGTGGACAAGTGGGTACTGCTCTGCTATACAGAAGTTGTCGAGCATGTCGTTGTTATGGATGGTTTATACTCGTATTTGAATTCAATGATAAATCATCGTATACGAAATATGATTCTAATCAGATACATTTATAAGTAATCAAATTAGTAAAAATTGAAAATATATCATTGCTATAAAGAATAAACAGCTTGATTTTCCAGTGAACTTTTCTTTTGGATAAAAAACCTTGTTGGGAACCTTCTGTTCCTTGTGGATGGTGGGGGGGGGGTCTGCAGTCCCCTCTTCCTCGAAATATTAAGAAAAATTAAAAATTATTATAATTAAAGTATTTAAAGTAAACCCTACACCACTGTATAATATGTATACTGTTTTCTTATAATTTTTTTTTAAATGTTGCTTGTTTTGTCTATCGGTTATTATAATCTGTTTTTTCCTGGTCCCTTGAACGTCATAAATTACAAACAGTACACGATTTCTACTCGATTTACATAAATTGCATATAATTACATTATTTAAAATAAATTGTTATTTTAGTTCGATGAAAATTAAAAACTTTTAAATATGGTCTTTTGTAATTGGATCAAAATAGGTATATGGAAAATTGCCTCTACAAAACATTTATTTTCATAAATTATTGTTTTTATTAAAAACTGGAGTGGTTTTTCATTATATAGTAGCTGTGTATCTCTCGAACGTACAAATGAAGTGTAATTGCTTACCAACATGTTCTACAATCGAATACGATATAACATCTTCATCTCATTATGACAGTTGGAATTATATGAAAGCTACAAATTTAGTAAAAAATAAGTAAGTATGTTATTGTTATTGTTATTTTATGAATAAATATATCGTTATAATTTACTATAAATGGATGTTATTATTAGGCTTAGGGACTTATAGCTCTAAAAAATACACAAATATGCTTCTAAAAACATTGAAATATGCATTATAATATGCATTTATATGCATTAAAAAAAAAATTGACCACTAAAACTTGGTTAATTTCACTTTTAACTTAAAAAAGTTATTAGTTAAAATGTAAACATAATAATTAATGAATAGTAAACAATAACTAAGAATTATTAATCAAAGACACAACTTTTATTATTGAATATGCAACAACTAAATTTTGAAAAAAAATATATTTATCTTAACATTTTGAAAATTAAACCGAGAATTAAATATTTTTTTTAAATAATAATAATTATACAAAAAGTTACAATATTTTGAACTGGTATAACTTTGCTACTTAAATAAAACAACTGTTTTATAGAAATAACACCATTAATTCTGCATCATTTTGAGTTTCTTGGAAATTACATTGTACGATTAAATACCTTCTTATGTTTTCGAATGTAAATCTCCGACGATAACTGGACAATAAATTATTGTAAATTGAGAAACTCTGTTCAACGTCTACAGAAGTAATTGGAGCATAATTAAAGTATGCCAAATCATCATTTGTTATATCTTCAGGCAAACCTTCCAAATTTTAAACACAATATTATACATTTATAACCAAAATTTTTATCTAAAACATCATTTATTTTTTTACAATTCGTATAGCCTTTGCACATTTCAAATGACTTAGCTTATCTTCAATTATTTTCAACAAATCCGACAGCTTAGTACCTCTTTTTTTAAAAAAATGTTATCGCTCGAGGTAAAAATTCAAAATTTGGTTTGATAAATGTTAGTTGACATGGAAGATTACTTTTTTCAAATACTTTTTAGTGGAATTACTGGAAGTATTAATATATTTTTATTTTCAATCTGTTGAAATATGTATATATAGTTGTATGTAAATATAGTTTTTAATTTGAAATTTTAAAAATTTGTCAAAATATGCAAAATAAGCATAAACATTTTAAAATATGCACTTTCTTGCAAAATCTATCAAATATGCAAAAATATGCACATTCGAATTTTAGATCTGATATCATGGCACCGAGAAACGAATTTATTTCGCACTCTGCTATATTTAACAATAATTAAAAAAAGTATGCAAATGCTAGAAGTCCCTTAGCCTACAGTTATTATATATCAAATTTGTACCATTAACGATATTTTAACAACCAACGTTTGTTTTTAGTTCTAAAGGAGCCACGATTGAGGTTGTTTTCAAAAATCCTTTTTTCACTGCATATAAATCGGCATCAGTTGTAGACATAGATTCATTAATTAGTAAGTTATTTTATTTAATACATATTTAATATTTTAGACTAAAAAAAATGTTTAGAACTATTGGCTATTACAATTACCCACATAGGTACAAATATTTTAAATCTTTATAATTTAAAATATCGTAATTTGATACCCTGTTAAGGACTTGATAAGTTTAATATTATGAATTCTGTAGAAAAAGTAACTTAAGCAAATTAATTTCTATACAGATGGATTCTGCGAGTGGGCAGGATCAAATTGCGTACGGTTTAGGTACCTATTTTTGTACAAAATAAATTTTTAGAATACAAAGGAAAATCTCTAAAACGTTGTTAAATTAATTTTTCAAAAATTTAACAAAAAAAAAAATATAATTTTTAACTTGTATGTACATTAACATTTGTTTGAATACAGTACTACACTATTACCTGCACCAATGTCCAATATATTATTATATTAGTAATATTATATTATGTTTGTACCTATGTGCAATTGGTAGCTGTACATTTTGTATAGACTATTACAGTTTAATACAATCCATTGTACATTGACCCACTTGTAACCTACTGTACAGCAGAGCGACATCCACTTGCTGCTTTTTTTAACATGATATTATTTACAATTCCACAATTTTATTGTATCATTTAAGTCTCTTATTTGATAATTATAAATTTACTGATTTATAACTTAATAACAATAATAATATTATTATATTATTTTATATTTTACCATAATCATGATAATGCGTTAGTGTGAATATAATTGTAAAAAGATAATTATGTAATGGTATGTGGAAATGTGTAAACTGCGTAAATTATCTAATTTCACTGTTTCTTTTTTATTTGTTAAAAATTATAAATTTTTTATAATAATGTGGATTACGTTGTATTGTTTCAGGCAACACTGGAGGAATATTAGGTTTATTTTTGGGCATAAATTTAATAAGTATTTTTGAAATATTGTATGTAGTAATTAAAATGATTAGTAGTTACTTATATTGTAAATATGTTGAATAAGCTATCAGCGCACCTACAGAAGTAAGGACTTCTTAACCCCACCCCCCCTCAAAGTACCAACCATATTTATTATTTTGGCAGAAACGATGCTGTTCAAGAAAATCAAAGCATTTTTGCTGTCCAAAAAGGTGATGACAGACCCCAATAAAAAAAATAAAAAATAATACACACCATTGTAAAATCAATACATTCATCGCACCGCTCAGAATCTAAAATAATATTATACAATACGTTGCTTATAAAATACGTAAATGGTATAATATTATTCTAAATTAATAAATTATAATTCAGATGTCTCGGGTAAGATTTTCAAACATCATCGTTCATAAATGATAATCAATCGATAAGTGAAGACAAAAAATCAAGCAAAAATCAACAAATGCAAAAACATGTCCAAGAACATAAATATAAATGTTCATGTTTAGTGAGTCCGTATATTGTATAAGCATTATGTATGAATGTAGAATATTGTACAAAACTCTAATTATTTATATAGTTTTGGTGTATTGAAAATATTTATAAATTTTGTCTGTCTCTTTTGATGTATTCTGTTTTATTTCAAAAGTTTCCAAGACCTTTTAAACAAATCAAAAGCTGTATATTTTTTAGTCATTATTATTATTTCTAAATAAAATATTATTATATCGCAGGCTTAAAGTTGTCCGACAATTTTCTACAGGGATATCGTCGTTTCATGGTATTTTGACCATTAATGTGGGTACATAAATACATTGAATGTCAACATTAACATTTTATGCAAATATAATTCAATTATTTTGTACCATGTAATCAAAAATGAGTAGATACAATTTTTGATCATAAAATATTTTGTAATCCAACCCGTCTATATGTCAATTAATTTAAATAATGGTTTAAAGGGTTCATTGTACGATTTATTTTTGATTGCACTTTCAAATTTCGTTATTTTGAGGCCTCCTAAATTCTAATTATTGGTTTAACTATACCAATATTCGTGACATAATGGATCAATAGTCGTTTGAAATTTTTCAAAAGGTATGAACTCGTCTTAAACACTTTAGTCAAGGAAAATGAAACTTTGTCAAAGGAGTAATTACTTACAAGTTACAATTATGCAAAACGTTAGGTACCAAACAATAAATTAATAATAGGTATTGTATATTTGACCATCTACTATAGTCACAAGACAGTGTGATTTCTCATACAATTTACCTTTATTCTAACTACCTATTACAATGTATATAAACTGGGATTTAATTCAGAATGCAAATTGCGTTGATAATACAA